TATACTGCTCTAAGTTTGATCCCTCCCTGATATTCTGCGCAATGCATACAGTCCACTTCGAACGCACAGTCAATGGAAGGAGCTCGTCGAGTCCATCGCGGATTCATGTATACATTGTACTTGGATTCAAATGATATACTGTTATAAGTCTGATCCATGCGTGATATTCCCTTAGCATGCGTTCCGAGTCTGATAAAGTGTGATAATTACAAAGCTCCATATCCCTCTTGTGCAAGAACATCCTCATCAAGCTCCTCTCCCTCGTCAGCTACAATTGCATCTTCCTCGTCCAAATTGTTAGTATTTTCATCCTCGCTATTCTCACTGCCCTCCTCGTCAATCTCTTCGGCATCCCCTCCCCAAGGTTCGTCCAACTCTCCAAAATTAAGGTCTTTGTTCTCATCTGCGTCCTCCACATTGACGTCACTCTGCAGAAGCTTGTATAGATCTTCGGGCATCTTGTGGCCCACATCACCTCCTTGAAAACGCATGAACATATCCCTATCTACGAAACTAAATGAATAATTAGATGAGCGTACACCGTAGCAGTAGCAAAGGCAATATGTACTGATTCACATAATAATACATGTAGTCCATATCCTTGTCTTCAGGCGGACGGACGAATGAATGTCCAAGTTGGGTGTCAGTCTGTCCATATGCAAATCCAGGAATTAAGTGAACTCCCCAGATCACTTGATCGGGATCGACGAAGCCAAAGCTGTCAGGATCATCTCGACTGAAAAATCCAATGCAATGGAGTCATTTGGCAGACCACCCAGCTTTGAAGGCAATGTCTCGCCTGAACCAACACACAAACAACACATGCATGTGAGTAGGTGCTGCTTGAGAACCACCGGGACCATAGTACCACACATTGACATGGAATACCTTGATAATACGAGCATACCAATAGGGATGTCAGGTCCTCGTCATTCTCATGTGACAACATCATGATGTCAGCATGATTTTGGGGATTCATTGAATCTTGCTCGCAGCGAAGGTCGTAGGTTGTATAGTTGATGCGCAGGATACTGTGTTCGTAGAGCTGATTGTTAGTGAGAATCACCTGGCTCCTATCTTCATCAGAGAATGCATACTCGTCTCCAGAGTACTCGAGACCACGTAATCTTGCCAATAGATGGTTTTTCAATCTCGGAATGAAGTCCTATGACACCATATGAATAAATCAAAAAATACTTGAATGAACTACTTACTTTGACTGCCGGGTCTTCTGCCAGGTCGCCGAGCCATCCAGTCATATCATATGATGCTTTGGGATATTTGGAAATATGATGGTGTGCGGTAGGTGAGGTACGTTCATGTGGTACGCTGGGTGCCTTGAGTAATTCCTCACGTCGTTGGACAATCCGTGCAATTACCTGTTCATGGGCTTCGAGGTGGGTCATTGTAGTGACCATGGTCTTCTTATTCTTGGCTGTCCTAGGGTACCAGCGCTTAGCTCGCCGATGTTTGAGTTCTCCCTAGAAATAGGATGTCAGATATTCAACCATTCAATTTGATATAATCTCACCGGCTGTGTAGAAAAACTGTCTGTAGTACCGAAACATCGAATTGTGTTAGGATAATGTCCAAGAGCATGAAACTTGTAAGTCGACAAATTGAGGGCCTTGAACTTGGGACTGGACTTCTGCTTCCCTTTACCTGAAGATGAAGGTTGTTTGGCTGCTAATGCAGCCTCTCGACGTCCTCGTGCTGCATACTCATGAGGGAGTTCTGTTGTATGGTAGTAGCTACACGTAGTCTTGAAGAATTTTCGGACAGATTGGCCTAAGACCGTCATTGCAGTATCAAACAAGGTGAGCGAGTCTTCTGTGTGCATTCGAAGTTTGGCATATGCATGCCAAACAGAGAGATCAAATAGAAGGTCAAGGACAATCTTATTATGGTTGTCCAGCAATAGCTTCTCAAAGACGGGAATAGCACACTAGAAAGATTGAAAATAAATAAACAATCATTAAAGTTGACTCAGACATACTTGTAATAGGTCCTCAAAGTCACGAGCTGCAAGTTTTTTCATGGCAGAAGCGTTACTGTGGAAGCGATGTATAGTTCCCCTGCCAAATGTTGGTACTTTTCGGTATCTAGTATGAAACACTGTGAGCTTGCAAGACAACTGGTACGCAAAATCAAACTACTGTTTGTTGAGATCTGGAATCATGTTCCCTCCAGCTGCGTGAAGTATCCGCATCAAATGGGTAAATTTGGCCTTCCAAGTGCCAAGCTCAAACTCGTGAAGCTGATTGACGAGGAACATATTGAACATGTTGAATGCATGTCGCGCGAGTTTCTCAGAAAATGCAGACTGAATCTATATATTAGTTAACAGGATGCAGAGTATATAATGCTGCTTACTATGATTGGAACATGCGAGGCTTCATCAAGTATCACTTTGACACGACTCCCACCTACAGGGACTCCAAGCCGGAAAATCAAGGTACGGGCTTCTTCAACACTGCGCCGTCATCAGAAGTCGTCAACACGTCTGTTAGTCACACGACCCTTCATGTCGAGTTTCATGCCCATCTTGTGGACATCCTCCTTCTTGACCAGGCAGCATGGACAGGGATGCCATCCGAGAGACTTTATAGTAGCGAGTAGAACCCTGCGCAGTGAAAAACACATTAATGCCTCATGTCCAGTCATGCATCAAATGAAACATGTACTTACTTCTCAGGATAGTCTGCCGAATATGAAAAGAAATGTGGAAATACTCTTCGTGTGATACCATCAGAGCACCGGATCACTATTCTGTGTTCATAGGCTTCCATAAACTTACCATCCAGAAGTAACCTCCATATTGCTTGCATCAGTTCATGTTTCAGATGCGTATGCACTTCACTCATTGTAGCCTCGCCGAAGATATCCACGTAGATTTCTTGTAGATTATTTGGAAGCTGAAGGAGATACTGAGATACTGATATTAATGAAAATGAGTGGTACATACTGTTGGAATATATGCCAAATGATGCAAAGCACGAGCCGTGGGCTTGCCTCGTGTATACTTGGACTGATTCCCAAAAAAGACGTAAAACGGCCAGAGGGAGGCATCCCCAAAGTTCGCCAGGTGTGTAGCATCTGACCACACCATGAGCGAGGCAACAACACGCTCAAGGTGATCTTCAGGGTCATGAGGGAGGGCATTGACCTCTGTGTAAGCTTCCATCAGTGCAGGGGACGTGTATGCCTCCCCAAACACTTTGACCGTCCGATGATTGGGTGTAGTCCAGAACTGTTCAAACGGTGTCATATTGAATGACTGTGAGATGTCACTCTCGAACACATGTGTGATGATGTTGGTCAAAGAGTGATGATGAACACCTGAGATCTCGAGTTCAGGAGCCTCAGTTTCTGATAGAAATTTTGTCTTCTCCTTTGGTAGTCGGATCTTCACAGTAGATTGGTGCCATCCGTATTCCTCTCAAAAGGGGTTAGACTTATCTTCAATGTACTTGTCCAACAGCTTCATTTCGTGCGTGAAATTGAATCCACTTAGGTGAGCGAGGGAGCAACGAGGATCTGAACTTAAGAACTCTGCAAGATGATTGACATTGACTGCCGAGTTACTATTGGTGCCAGAGTAATGCCACGCCATCAGAACTCCGGAAGTGTGGTTTGAGAAGCCATCAAACAAGTGCTTGGCGCTAATTTCAGGTGTAGAGAGACCAGGGTGCACTCCACGAAGTGCCGCTTGGTCACTGTCCAGGATTGGTGCATCTGTCACTCTCTCCAAGGTCAAGAGACCCTCTGGAGCTAAAGTGGGATGTGTTGGGTACACACGATGAAGTTCCATGACGTCAGGTTTGGTCTGGAAAGGGATGTGCGCAGGGCGGGGATCTTCTGGCTCAGAAGATGGTGCTGGGGACGGAGATGGTGATTGAACATGTTGAGATTCATCTGCTTCGTGCAGAACACGCCCTCGTTGCTGCTGGTTAGTGGAAGGCATATGTGCAAGGTGCATGGCTGATCCAGGGAGGTAGTCAATGAAGCACCGAGGCATTCATACCGTACGTCCGGAGTGCTTTGAAGTGACTGGGGGAGGTGAGGGTGAATGGGGGATGTTTGATGGTCCTGCAATACTTTCGGGCTGTAACACAATATGTAGTCTAAATATCAGATCACAGTGAAACTGTTAATAAACCTCACTTGTTCAAAATCTATGGTGTTGGCACCCATATCCATGTCCGCATAATCTTGCGGGCCCTCATTGTCAATACCTAGTTGAATTAATTCTGCATGATCACTCTATGCTCGTTTGGATTTCTTGCTGCTTGCCTTGTCCGACTTTCGCTTTTTCTTGGTGTGGTACAGTGGGTCAGCAAGTTTCAAGGCCTGTTTCTGTGAGCACTGCGAAACATGCGCAGAGAGTTTCTTCTGAGCTGTAAAGGTCCTGCCGCATGCAAGACAAGGCAGATCCATATAGATTAAAAGTGCGAAGTGAGGGCGTAGTGCAGGTGTAGTTCAAAGTGAGGGTATAGTGCAAAAGCACACAGTGAGGTGCAACAAGCATGGCTGGATGAGCTGAACTGATAACATCGCACATTTGAGTACTTGTATCAGGGAACCATTCTGATTTGTCATGTCTACATACAGACAAGGTGAATGTGATGATTCACGACATCTAGATAAGTCTATTCTGAAGGCGGGCAGAAATGAGCCATTGATCCAAATGTCAGAAGCTCAGGACACACACCTAAGATCCTCACTGCAAAGAGCGTAAAGTTTGGCTAACACATCTAGCAACAGCTTACACGTCCAGGGCAAATTGAATCTGGACATTCTCATCCGACAAGACCAGGCTGAAGGCAAATATATGTTGATGAGACCGTTGTGCAGCTGATTATGGCAGTTTTGATATTGCAAGGCAGCGCCGCAGAGGCAAGGTGGATTCAAACCCCAATATCAATATGTCAAAACAACATGTCTCTCAGCGCGATTAAGTTACACTTTATCTCATCTTACCTCCTAGCTCCATCGTGGCCATGGCTCACAAAAAAGGCTCAAAACGACCTACTCCTGCAGTAATTCTCTCAGATTCTGATAGCGATTCGTCCTCCCAATCATCTGGATCAGGAGATGACTCATCTTCATCGGATATTGAATCCCTTCCGTCTCCAGAAATCAAAGCCAAGCCTCGCAAGGAGGCTAGAAAACATGCAAAAAAGGTAGCCAAGTAAGTCTGGGTCATTCAATAATCTAAGATCAATATACTAATAGCGCATATATCTATAGAAAAGGCAATCGGGGTGGTAAACACGAAAGGTAATGATCGCATCACATTGTTTAAGGTATTATTAATGCATTGTCTAGTAATAGTAAGAGGGGAACGAGTCCGAGGGATCGATGCTTGCATATTGCACACTGGATACCTTGTGGCATCAACATGTTCTGCAGTCTGAGGGACGTATTCTGCACTGCCAATCTGGTGAGGCAAGATGAGGCTGCACAAGACTTATCCGAGCCAGAAGACGAAGCTGCTAAAAAGGAGCGCAAGGAGATGCTCGCACATCTGTATGTATTTGAATCTTGTTGACATTTCTTAAGCAACTAATTTCTTCATAGGACTAAGGACGTCCAAGAGCATCACATGAATACCTTTCAGAGGATTGTCTTGTTGGTGCCGCACCTGGGTGTGCTTGCTAGAGGTAACAAGAAGCAACAAAGAGAACTAGATAGGATTCTTGCTGAGGTACGTCTCTAGGGTTGCTGTATGTGCAAATTGTTTTGTGTTGACTTATCGCAAACAGATGCAAGATATCATGGGCCAGATTCGCTCTGAAGACACAAGTCATCTCAAGCCCTTCATCAGGCGTTATGCAGCTTCTGACCCTGACAGCGACGGCTTGCATCCTCCTATCTACTCGGACCATTCGAAGTCTCGTGCCAAGATGGGCATGAATCACCCGCAGCTGGCCGGTATGCTCTGTCCAATCAAGCACATGCAATCCTATCAAAAAGAGCCAAGAAAGTACATGTATAACAATTCTAATTTAGTGTTATCTCTCATTCCTTTACAGAGTTCAAGCGCAACTGCAAAATGGCGAGATCAAAGTTCATGCAAGCATTTGGCTGGCACTTGCTTATGCCGGCAATCCTCTGGGAAAAGACTTCGACCCCGATAATGTCCAGGAAGGATTTTTGCCAGGCTATCTCCTTAAACGAGTAAGGGGTTTTTTTTATAGTAGGATTAGGTTTATTGACACACTCCTCATACATTCAGGTTCTAAGGCATATTTACACGAGTCCTTCCTCTGCACTCATCGATGACGGAGAGAAGACTACTGTTCGTTCTGGCAATGCAAAACTTCACAACATGCAAAAGGTAGAGGCGGAACACATTGCCTATGCCTTCATTCAAGTACATTTTCCAATATTATATCAACAGCTGATTTAATCTACCAGTGGCAGGCTCGCTATGGAATATCCTCGCATGACAAGTGGTCCGAGAATGACGGAAAATACAGTTACTGTGATGCATACTACCGCACCATCAAAGCTATTCACGAGGCACCCGACCCCGATTGGGCGAAGTCCCTTCTTGAGTGGTGGAATAAGTGAGTGTTGTTTTTTTCACGCCCGCATAATATATTCAAGCTCTATAATTTTGAAGTGCAGTGTTCACTAATAAGAAGGGTGTACTCGACTTCAACCTTAGCGAAAACGAAGATGAAGAGGATGACTATGCTTTGATGAAGAAACAATTTGTGATGCGTACAGTAAAGGGACAGGCTGAGGTGCGGTTTTATTTTATTTTATGATGCGTTTTTCACTTGTCTTTCCTTCAGCCTGGACCTGTTGACGTGCAGCCAATAAAACACCTCTCGAGCCTGACTCCGAAACATCAATGATGGACACTACAACTACTACATCTACGTCAAGAATGGAACTATCCTCTCCTGCAACTACCCCTCCTCCAGAAGACCTGATTGTGTCGCCAGCTGCAAGGCCCATTCCTAGACCTCGCCCCATCAAACCTACCACTCAACATGCTTCTTCAAGTTCAGGTGCTCATGTTCCTCCTGCACCTACTCCGTCTCCTGCATGAGCATTGGCTCCTACTAATCATTTGCCGAAGCCTGCCTCAGTCGCCACTGTGCCCCATACCATCATGTCTAAAAAGCGCCCATCTGTGGAGCTTCTGGTTGATAGTGATAGCCCACTGACTGACGCGGAATCCAAAGTTGCCCCTTCTCCAGCAAAATGTCCAAAAAAAAGGCAAGCGGGCCAAGGCAGGTGAGAGCAGCAAGAGCGCTGGTAAGAAACGCAAGGGTCGAAAGTAACTTGGCATTCTCTGGTACGAGATTTCTTATTCCTTGTGTACTAGTCTGACTGCTTCAAAACTAGTTCACCGTTCATCTCATTTACTCTCAGTTGCTGTCCGTGCACCATCACTCACTGCTTTTCCATTTGCATTGCTGTCGTGCCATTGTACTATATCGGACTTTTGTTGTCACTCAGCGCCTTAGAGTTTCAATCATGCATGTCGTAGATTTCTGTAATGCACACCATGTGGTGATACAATGATATGTGCTTATCCTGAAATATCAGTCTGGTAGTACATTATAAGCGTCCCAGCAGTTCTAAAGGCTTCGCAATGACTAGTGCATGATGAGAAACCAGCATACATCCCACATATGACGAACGATTGATCCTCAACAGCGATTCCTGATCCGTGCATATATGGACGACACGAAGTTGATCCATCATGATGGGCCTAGGTCACCCTGCTGGGGCTGTTGACCGATGGTATGTCATGAGATGACCTTCGCTTGCCATATATAGGTTTTGAAGTTTTGGTGATGTGGGCCCTGAATATTGTTTACAAAACTTACACTGAGAAGATATTCAAGTTGTTATAGGCAAAGACTCTTGAGTCAGGGTGCTGCTATTATGGAAAATCAAGTGTTAAAGGACCAGTGCTCGAGTGGGTTACTAGCTGGCCGCGGCATTGCATGCGAGGAACTTTGTGATGGCAAGGGAACTTCAAGGGACCAGGATTCCATGAATACGGAGTTTAAACTTGAAAAGCTTTTGTTACCTCGCGCACTGCACATGCAAGCAGCAGACCTAGTGTCGGTAAATGTGAATGTTGCAAAATTCAATATGCAGTCAGTTGTGGAATGAGTACTACATCAACGGATACTGTACACTTATTCAAAGACTATCGACAAAGACAACCCAAATGAAAACGAAGCGGAATTGAGATTTTTAAAAAGAACATGGTTAATGGCTGCAAGCGAAACCTGAATCTCTGACATGCATAGCAACTGTAAACGTGGATTAATGAGATCATGGCATGAGTGAGCAAGAAAGAAATTTATACCACTTCAAAACGTTCAAAGCAGTCCGAGCCAAGACCAACCCCCAAACAGGGGTGAAGAATCTTTCACCCAACTCTCTATAAATGTACTGTCTCCATGTTCTCGACTCTTCTTCTCCAGCCACATGATCTTTTCAGTAGTGCCCGCCCTGTGTTCCTCACAGAGTTGCTTCAGGATGATGCTCCGACTCAATCTGGGATATCTGCTCATGACTTTGAGTATGTACTCTCCCATAGCCTCAACGCCGGTGTCACTAGTAACCTGTGTCATGACCCAACCGCAGTTGATCTGGAAGATCATTTTAGCTCCTGGATCATCAATCACAAAGCGAACTGCTTCACCGCTCGCAGTGAAGAGGAAGTAATCGACATTTCGGTCGGCTTCAAGCATCTCAGCTTGACGCTCCGCAGCAGGGGTGCGTTTACCCTTACAGGGATTTACGCCAATGTCTCTGAGGCTCGTGAGCTGCCGACCTTCCTTGTCAAAGTTGCGAAGCATTTCGGCGGTGGGATTGGAGTTGCTGAATGCCCAAAGGGAGTCTCCCTTGGTTCCGCTTAGACCCTTCGACACTGACTTCTTGCCACAAGCCCATTTGTGAAGAGACCAGTCTTGTTTCTGGCAGGATCTAGTGGATGCAACATCATGAGGGAGTTATGAAGACGAAATTAAAGGACTTCTACTCACTGAGAACAATAATGTATCTCGAAGTTGAGTTTCGCTTTGCAAACACTGTACACCATGAAGCGAACACCTTGTCCAATTTCTTCTGGAGTCTTCGTGCAGTTTTCACAGCAGACAAGAGGTTTATCCCTGAAAGTCATTTTGGCCTGTGCTACAGCTCGAGCGACATATCCCTTTGTATTCTCCATGAAGTGCAGGACCCCCTTCATCCCCTCACTATGATTGGTGATGTCACTTATGACTGAAAACACTGAGGACAGAACAAAGTGTCCTGTTCATGGAATGTTAGACTCGCATGATGTTATATGAGCGAGAAACACTCGCCGATAAATTTATTCCTATTGATAGTCGCGACTTCGAACAGAAGCTTTGTGCTTTGGGATACTTGTCCTCAAGGTGGAACATCGGTGGCTGGGGTCTGTTCCCACCATGGATTTGGCAGGTTTGACGCCTGTTCCCACCATGAGTTTGGTAGAAATGCTGGTTGAAGGGATGACTCAGATGACTCCAAGATGCGAGCGAGAAAGTCGACAAAGCCCTTCCCGCCCTGCATCAGGAGGTTCGAAACTGTGACCTCTAGGCAAAGAGCACGACAATCTTGCCCCCACAATGTACGTGCTTCACAAGCCCCCTTCAGGCCTTCATTGATATGTCTCTTCTTCTCCGTGACATTCAACAACAACCAGATGGTGTCAAAGTGACCTTTGTCGAACAGGTCATGCAGCATTTTGGCTACATTATCTTGGACCCTGCGAAGATCCTGGTGGAAGAACTCCATAGCATCAGGAGTAAAGCCAGAGTCATCTAAGAAACAAGACATCTCCTTGAGGACGTCTGCTGCGGTTGAAGATGCGATCGCCGCTTCCCACTCCTTATCCCACTTGAGCGCATCTTGCTTAACATCAGTGATGTTGAATTTCTTGGACAAGAGTGGAGGAAAATATTTAGGTGTCTTTACAGCGTCATCGTCCTTGATTGCCAATGCCATCGCTAGATGATGCACGACTTGTTTACTGCTGGGAGGGTATGGAAGATCAGGGATATCGACGAGATACGTTTTATAGCTAACACCCCATGATGATAATCGGATGCCATCATATCGATAGTTAAGTGAATAATAGTTCCATGATCAATGATGAATCATGATAGTCTATAAAGAGACAAGCCATGATCTTCCAGACGTAAAACCCGCGCTCTGTATGATGTAAAGAACTTAATTATCACCACCACGAGGCTCGATGCAGTCTCATGACTCACTTCGAACTTTCCCCAGAATGTTGATACAGCGGCCTTGTCACAACACAAACCGGGCATCGAGTCTGAATTCTACATGTGCGTAATATCACAGCATATATTCATTCCTGATTTGGGACTCCGTACTGAAAGCGAGCAAGTCACACCTGCTAATTAAAAAGAAAGATATTCTTGCACTCACGGTAACAATACATGCATGAACCCAGAATAGGTAAAGCAGAAAAACGTCAACACAGAATTCGATCAACATATTAACGACACCGTGACATGGTCATTTAATCGGTAGTGGTGGTTCCCTGGGGCAATGATAATGCTACAGGTTGGCTTTGAACGTCCTTGGATCTGAGTGACTTGAATCTCGCTCTTTTTGTTACGGAGTGGGGCAACATATCAAGTCTACAAGATACATGAGCACCCGTGGGGGTATAGTCAAGCGAATATGATACCCTTTTATCCTCGACGACCGCAATATCCACAACAGGGGTCGGTGGGAAGAACGTTGCCTAGGGTGCTGCTGAAATGATGTTGCATCGTGGTCGATGGAAGGAGGGCGTTGGGAGAACGAGGAGAAGCGATTAATGGCTGCACGTGGACGTGACCTCAAGAAGGCGAGAGTACTACTACATGAACGCACCCCTGCGTGCAGTCAAAAAACATGTGCATCCTCGAGCTGTCTCATAGTACCAACCTGGAATGTCAGGTTAAGAGTATCGAAAATGTTGAAAAACGCGTTACATACCTTCAAAACCGGCTTGTCAGCTACGCCCTATACGAGTTGGAGATTGATATGCTCTATCATTAAATAGCCATGAGATGATGCACGCTTTCGATTCATCTTTTGGTAGCTAAGAAAGAACACCGTCAGGATAGAGACTGGGCAACGTATTTAGATTCACATTAGACAATAGGTCGTCAAGACCAATTTCTCTTAGTATGAGATGGACGTCCCACGAGTGCGCATTGTGGTCATTGCAACCCGTTACTAGCAGCTTTCCATCAGCGGAAAGAGTCACACAATACACGCCAGCTTCGTGGCGAAGGGATTCACAGGTAGATTTGTGTCGAGATTCCACAAGTGCACTGTTCGATCGAGCTCTTGCTAGGAGCAAGCTAGCAGAAGGACATTGTAAGACAAGGAAATGGGTGATTAGTAGTGTGAGGAATACAAAAAAATTTGTACATGCGTTGGCGCGGCCTTGACATCACGTGCTACGCTCACTCCTAAACTAAATCTGGCACTTTGCCCCTCGCACGTTCTGATATGCCCCTAGCCTGAGGCCTGCCAAGGGTACCCTGAATGCCGTCTCCCGGCTATCTGACACCGCAGCCAAGTCTCATGCACATGCCTCAGGCATAGTGAGTGGCGGCGCCTGCGGCCTCATGATCACTAGGTTTGCAACATTCCTGACATCGCGTTACACCTGAGTCCTAATTTGAAGGCCTAACTTGAAACTATGTGTGTCAAATATTGTTATGACATGGCCTTTGACTTGAGCTTGAGC